GTGCTATGGCAACTCTGCTACTGACCGCCTCATTCGCCCGCCTAGGGATTGGTAACACAGCAAGAGGTATCGATGGAGGTATCAGTCGTTGGTCGAGTATTTAGTCACAAGTTTAGTTCTGTTTAATTTCCACAACATGTCTACTCGTCGTATTGAACTTGTTTTCTTGAAAACGAGACATTTAGGTATGATTCTGTCGCACACTCCGCTCCTAAGCGCTTCCCGCAAAAGCAAACAGCAAAAAAGTGGAGGAATAAGAACACACAAAAAATGTTGCACGAATGAATGATGATGATGCGCATGCGCGCAAACGCGCCAGCAATTTACCAAAGCAGCAAAACTGTCCAACGACTGCAACAGCCGCAGATGAAACAGCAACGTTTCGTGTGTTAGCTGCCCAGGCCGATTAGGTTCCCGGTTGGTTCCAAACAAACACACACACTTACTCACTCAAACTAGAGCCCAGATGACGGAGGAGAGTTCATGCCGTGAATTTTAAAAATAAAAGCAAAAAGGCGTAGCAGAAATAGCAGCGACTATCCCAACAGCAGACAAGAGGCCGAACGAGGCAAATAAAGAAATAAAGACCCGCAAATTGTGTGTGTCTGTCGGTGTGTTCCTCCTTCACTTGTACGAGTTTTACATCGACTCGATGTGCGACGGATGAATACTGATGCGATTCGTTTCTCAGCAGCGTGTTCTCATGGATTATTTTCTTCTTTTTGTTCGGGCTCTGAAAACAAAACGAACACAAACGACAAACAGAGTTTCTTAGAGAGTAGTTTTCGTGGTGGCGAATGGAGTCATATTTGAAATAAAACTTCACGGGAGAGTTGTTATGGAAAAAGACCCGATTGGAAATAGTGGCATGCTAATATGCAGAAAAGACAGAAGAGCGTCATATGTGAGAGCTATGCCAAATATTGGGCCCACATTGTTGCTATTGTTACTATAGAAAGAGTTTCTGCAAAATAAAAAAGGTAAAACAAGTTAAAAAGCAGTAAGTTCGGCCGGGCCGAACTTTGAATACCCTCCACCATTTGGAACCAATTTGGAAATTTTCAAAAAATAAAATCCTTAAAAAATTCTGTTAAAATTTTAAAATTACCAAATATAGCCGTTATATTGGGGTCTATACGACGTGGACCTACATAGGCATTGTTTGTCATAAGCCATTACCATATTGAAATTCGAAACTTGGAATAAACGGTGAATAATGTAGCTAAAATCATCAAAATATCGTATATAGGGATGTACCCTTATATCGGAGCTGTGCGAAGACCTGGACCTGCATAGATAATTTTCTGTCACATGCTGTAGCATCCATTACGAACTTCAAATACCACATCTCAAACAATTTCGGTGGGTATTGTACTTAAAATCGTCAAAATACCGATTATAGGGAGGTACTGATATATGGGGCCTATACGAAGACCTGGACCTGCATAAACAATTTTCTGTCACAGACTGTAGTTCCCATAACGAACTCTAAATACGTAATTTGAAACAATTCTGGTGAATAATGACGCTAAAATCATCAGAATACCGAATATTGGGAGGTACCGTTATATGGGGGCTATACGAAGACGTGGACATGCATAGATAATTTTCTGTCTTAGGGTGTGGTATCCCTTTCGAACTTCAAATACAAAATTTGAAACAATTCCGGTGAATAATGTAGCTAAAATCATCATAATACCAAATATGAGGAGACACTGTTATATGGGGGCGATACGAAAACGTGGACCTCATAGCTCATTTACGAACTTAAACTGCCTACTGGCAAAATAAACATGTGTGCAAAATTTTAGCCTTCTATCTCAAATCATTCGAAAGATAGCGAGATTAAAACAGACTGACAGACTGAAGGACATCGCTAAATTGACTTAGAATTTTACGCTGATCAAGAATATATATACTTTGTTGGGTCTGACATGAGTATTTCGAGGAGTTACAAACGGAATGACAAAGTTAATATACCCTCCATACTATGGTGGAGGGTATAAAAAAATGTAAAATTTCACTTAATTCGATTGGACATGTGACAGAAGCCTCAAAATGGTGAGTAACAGATGATACCGTTACACCGGGGGTGTAAAATTTGTAATCATGAACCGCAAAAGACGCCTTTGAGGACAATTGTCTTTATTCACCCAATAGAGATTCAGATAAAATAGGAGCCAATCATCGCAGCCACATGACGAAACTCTAATCCCGAACAGAGACTCACGGATCAACAAAAGCCTAGCGAGCATTCCATCTGAAAGCAGCTGCTTCCCGAATGGTACTCATACTCATAAAAGGATAAGAGGTAACGAACGAGTAAACTCACTTGCAAAATGTTTTAAAAAAAAAGTGCAAAGTATAGTTTAAGGTTTGGGAAAAGATCGTCCATACACAAGAGAGCATGGGGAAAGACACAAAGATCCTATGTGGGAAACCAAAAAAGATAGAGTGTACGGATTTTAGTACGTGCAGAACTTTGTTGGGAAGAAAATTAAACTTCAAAACAATTCATGTGCCACTGCCCAGCTTTGGCGAATATTTGGCACCACTTCTTGGACAAAAAAAAACCTTCCAGATCTAAATCATAAACCAAAACAACCTATGGGGACTCGCTAAGAATTCTCAATTCTTAAAAGAAGCACTTTTAGAGTAATATTTCTAGCAAGCGTCTAGAAGTATGCTACAAAAATACTGTAGAAATGTAACTTTACATGTGACTCTAACATCAGGTGTAATCCAGTCTTAACCCATAGATGCAAATAACAGCTGCAAATAACATTATTAACATAATTCCTTTGTCTCATTATACACTTAGCCATATGATGGTCCACTCCATCTGGCACCTCTAACTTTGTACACCCAAATACATCTATAAACACAAAATCTGGGGTGAAGATAAAATTGGCGGTACCGTCTTTGTCAGATTCATTAATGCCTATTCAGAACTTCAGACATCGGATTCCAGACAAATCCGTTGAAAAACGTGGCTAAAACCATCAAAATATCGAAAATCGGGAGGTATCGGTATATGGGAACTATACGATATCGTGAACCGATCTTCGAATTTGGCCAGCCTGCAGGCAAAAGACTGATCTATGCAAAATTTTATTTTCTATATTTTTTTATTTCGATAAATTATAAACGGAGTGACAAACCTTACAGACCTGTTCATACTATATATGTAAAGGGTATAAAAATAACATCGCTTTTTATGTGAGAGTTGTCGTAAGGCCATATCATTCCACCGATTTGGATAGCCCCCTATAACAGTACTTTTGATCCTACGAATTTCTTAAACGGAACGGTATCTACTGGCCATTTTTCCCAACAAAATTGTGACACGTTTTCTTCCAAAAATATCGTGTTCTGAATCTCAATGTTTTTTCTGAATTTGGCTCCTCTTAACATATCTTTATAACAACAATATAGGCAGCATCTACTTTTTATGGCGCTATTTTAGGCCGATAACCATGGACGCGAGTACAAGTATACAAATCTTATATAAAAACCAGTAAGGAAAAGTCAAAAGTCGAGCGGGGCCGGCTATATGATACCCTACACCACTATGCATATTTAGTAGAACACCCGTAACAAACGAGTTTATTTCAAGTAGATCATACCACCTATCAACATTTGGCTTTAGAGTAGTTATGTCAGTTATGGCTGATATTAGCATTATTTGCACAATAAACCTGAAATCGGATTAAGGATATATAAGGGACCTATATCCAAATCATAAACGTTCAAGATAAAATTAAACATTTATATGGCTATATCTGAACCGATTTCCGAAATTTGTTGTACTTGCTTCTAGACTGAATTTGCATTTAGGCTGTTTGGTCGGATATGCAGAAATTCAGTCCATTTGGGTTGATATTAGCCATTTGGTGCACAATAGACCTGATATCGGATAAAGATATATATGGGAGCTATAACCTAATCTGAACCGATCTCTATAAAATTTGACAGGGGTATTTTCGAGCAATATCTGATGTCCGGTACCAAGAATCACTCGTCTGAAGTGCATACAATGCATGTGAGGGACTTAAAACCTCAAATCGGATGACACATATATATGGGAGCTATAGATATATCTGAACCGATTTTCTCCAAATTTGATGTACTTGCTTCTAGACTGAATTCGGTCCATTTAGTCCACAATTAACCCGAAATCGTTTGAAGAAATATATGAGAGCTATATCTAAATTTGATCCGATTATCACCAATAGGGTTCGTCTTTCTGTCAAAGAAATATTGTTTGCAAAATTTCCTCAAACAGATAATAATTACGACCTGCATTTGGATACATGGACGGCCGAACGGACTAACATGCATAAATCGAATCAGAAAGTGATTCTATGAAGATCCTCAAAGTAACTATGGGTCTATATCGCTTCCTTCATAATACCCTTACCACTATGTGGTGTAGCGTATAATCAGATGTGAAATAAATTTCAATTTAACGTTCCCCTTCAATCGGTTCGATAGTATAAAATTACTTGTATTCCAAATTAAAATATTTTGGATGCAAGACATATTTCCAATTTGGATCTAAAATATTTTTTTAACAATAGTTGTATTAAAAATAATTTGTAAATAATAATTATTTACTAATATTTTTCTTCAGACCTTTTCCAAACATCACCCAGAAGATTTCAGATCTGATTGGCTGATATTCGACATGGTTCTTTTTACATTACTGCAATAATTACACATTGAATTCCATGTAATAGCAAAATGACATTAAATTTTTATTACCTACTGGCTACAAATGGTGTTTCCCGAAACAGCTTGCCCTTTACCGACCCGCTGTAATCCATTTATGGCACAAGCGAACATTTGGCAAATTTCTTTTTCCAACCAGGTAGCTGCAAAGGTGAGCATTTCAAGCCGGTTGGTTATTGTACGAGAGAGCGTAAGATCACAGAGAGCACACGAAATGACAGAGAGAACAGAGAGCAATGCAGTTAACAAACAATCCCATTTTCAGGTCAAACGAGTTATGCCATGCAACTGCCGGAGCATTTACCCAGGGATAAGCGTACGCGAAGGATGTATACCGCAGTAGATAATCGAAAATAAAAAGAGAACAAGAAACAAACAAACAGAAAAAAGGATAATGCGTTACCGACTACAAAAGTGAAGTGAAGAATTGCAAAACAAAAAGAGAAAAGAAATTCCAAAAATTAAAACAAGTTTTTCGTTTGCGCTAAAAATTCTGATTACCTACCGAAAATGGGAATTGGAAAAGTGAATGCTTTCAAGTGACTAAAAATTAAAAAAAAAATATTAAAGAAATACCACCAAAAATATACTTGCTCGTGGATTTCTTCCAAATTTTGTGTATTTGTGAAGTTATTTTTAAATACATATTGAAATTGTGAAATTATTCGAGAAACAAAAACAACCCCTATTTGAATTATTATTCAAGTCCATGTGTGTGTTTATTTAGTAGAAGATCCCCTCAAACAGACGGCCAAACATATGCCACAAATTCTTTGGGTAGGGGAAAGAGAGAAAGGCCGAACGCAACGAAAACAAAAGGTGTGCGCAGGCGCAATTGTTTGATCGGTTCGAAATAAAACAAAAAACAACTGCCGTTTGCCTGGTATCGCGGTTGTGCCACCAACAACATCAAGAGTGCCTGCCACTGACAACGAACGACACAAGGCTGTCTTCGGAAGTTATAAAAACGACAGCTGCGTCTCTGATCAACGGTAAAGAGAGATAACAAAAACAACAACAAGAACCCTACACATACTCACACACCAACACAAGACCCGGGGATTGTTAAAAAGGACAGGCATATTTTACGATACGGGATTACGCGTGCTATTAATGTTCGTATAAGCCGAGTGTCAAGACACGAGCAATTTACGATATTGCCTTTATCGGAGCGAAGAATAGCTACCCCAGCAAAAAGAGTGCGAGTGTTAATAACATAACAGCCACTGTTAGCTGTGCAACCCGAGGATTAACAGCAACACAGTGTGCCGTTAACAAGAAAAAGTGATTAAGTCAAAAAGTGAAATTAATGATCTCACACATTAGTTTGTAGTTTAATAACGACAAAAAATAAAAACCACCAATCCAGTGAAATATTTATGAAATATTCTAAAGTTTAACTTAACAGCAAAAAAATAAAAATGAAATTCCTATTAACTTGCCGCTGCCACTTGTTTCTAATGGCCTATCTTCTAATAGCCATTCGACCACCCAAAGCATTAATTGCTTGGCCGCACGATGGTGCCACCAGCAGTCACCAATTACATCATAGTAGCCACCATAATCTCTCGGATGCCGCTGCGGTAGCTACCTCGCCAGAATCTGGCGGCGCCACAGATACATCAGCAAAGTCAGCAGGTGTCCACCACAGCAATTGGCATCGCATGGAAATGATGGATGCCAACGGTCTTTACTGGCTCGAATGGTGGACAAAAGCTAGGGATATTTATTTTCGTGTCACCGTCAATACCCAAGGATTCATTGGCCTGGGTTTCTCGAGGAAATCTGGTCGCATGTCGGGTGCGGATATGGTGTTGCTGTGGGTCGATGATCGCACAGGGAAACCCAATGCATTGGTAAGTGTAATTTTGTTGTAGTAGTTTGTTAGTTTAAAATTGCCTTTAATTTAAAATCAAATACAGTGTGTCTATAAAATGTTTACAAGAAAAGAAATTTCCGAATTTTATTGAAATTGAAGTGAGGTTTTGATAACAAACTCGTTTTTATTGTCTTAACTGCAAGGACAGATATCTGTCCTATAATTTATGTGCCTTAATCGACAGCTTTAAGCGACGTTAAAATGTAAATGAACGAAATGTATTTTTTTTTTTTGATGCATTGTTCCATACTTGCTATAGCCGACATTAACGATACGTCTTAAGTTTCTGTCTCAATTTTTCACCAAATTAGCTGTAATTTAATATGTTGAGTTTTCTCTTTCTTTCTAAACTCTCCTCAAATAAGGATCAATATATGTATAACGGATCTTCTAAATATTGCTGATTTTGAGGATAGCCTATTAGTTCATGAGTCAGGTTTAATATACTAGAGGACATATAAAGTTTGTTCCAGTCAAACTTACTTGTTAATTTTTCCCCAATTTATTTCAGACAATATAAAAGAAAACGCAAAAGCAAAACATATTTCAAAACATACTTCTCTCTTATACATAAGAGATGTGAACTCAAATACATTTTAAAGCTCTAAAGTCCCTCTTCTTTGGAATAGTTTCATACCATGATGGCGCCCAAATGCATAAAAACCCTATACCAAAAATACCATGGGTTTAAGTTGAAATATATACAGAAGACCTTGGCTATTAAGTTTTCACAAAAGAATGTCGCTGGAGCGATGACGAGAGATGGTGGCAAAGGGAGTGAAGAAGGTCAGAGCTTGGATTCATTGCTCTCCAATTTACTATAGCCATTGCAATTACGTACAATTACTGTACACATTTTCAACACTCCACCATATCTCAATTCCAGATACCAAGAGAGACCTCAATATCAAATTTTGAGGATTTCAGCCCTATGCCTTCACCCAACATCAAATTTAGTACTTTTCGTAAAATTATAGTACCGTTTTCCAAAACACCTCCATATCTCAATTCCGAATCTATATCAAATTTCAGCATTCCAGCCCTAACCCTTCATCCAATGCTAAATTTTTTAACATCTAGTACTTTTCGTACAAATATATTACACTTTTGCAAAAACACCACCACCACAGATCTCAACACCAGATATCAACAAAGACCTCAATATCAAATGGCAGAATTTTATCTCTATCAATTCAACAAAAACCAAATTTTGTACCATTTAATATTTTTGTAAAATCCAATGTCCAATACCAAATTTCATATTTCAAGTACTATTTGTTCATCCAAAACCAAATTGTACCAAATATAGTACTATTTAGTACTTTTCGTACACTTGTAGCACACATTTCCAAAACCACCTCTTTATTAGAATCCTACCACATAGAGGGACTCCAATACAAAAATTCAAAATTCCAACTTCGTCCGTTTACCCGAAACCAAACTGTTGCGAACTTAGTACCATTTAGTGCAATTCGCACAATTAGTACACATTTCCAAAACTACCTTTGTATATCAAACTTACTTTCCAGCCTTGATTCTCATAGCAAATTTCAAGTTTTTATCTTATCCGTTCACATAATACCAAATGATAAGATTTTAGAAGTTTAGTACCATTTTGGAACTTTTCGTAAACATAAAGTTCAAATTTCCAAAAAGCCTTTTGTACGTCTATACTGGTACATGCACTCCTGCACCCCATAAGTGACTCTCATTCCAAATTTAAGAATTCTCGCTCATTCCGTTTGTCCAATACAAATTATTAAAATTTTGGTACATTTTAGTACTATACGTACCCTTTAATTACGAGTTTCCGAAACCCCTTTAGTACATCTATCCTGCACTCCATCATGACTCTCATTCCAAAATTCAGTTCTAGCTCATTTCAATTGTCCAATAGTTTTAGTACTTTTCGTGCCCTTTCCGTACGAAATTCAAAAAAACATCATTATCACACGCATACACACCAAGGCTGACCCTCGTGCAAAATTTCAAGATTCTAGTACTCTTTTATATCTATAGATAAAATATCTGTCTTTAGGATATTTTATTGTCCGTATCTATGAACATTATTCAATACTTAAATTAGAGTGCAATACTTAAATTATGTCGCTTTTCGAATAACTTTATATTTTCCCATTAAAAATTTGGTTTGAAATAATCAATATCGGCGACATTTCCTTAATCATAAACCATTTTCCTCAATTATTTATATTTTCTATGTATGTATGTGTTTGCTTGTTGCTGATTTTCCATAAATACTTATTCAATCTTCATTATTCAATTTTGGTTCCCATACGAAAAGAAGAAAGAAAAAAATCAAACATCCGTTATGTAGACCATATCCTTGTCATGATTTTTTTTTTCTTCATTGTTGTTGGGGTATCGACTACAAAGCGCAACAGTTAAACGGCTTCTGATTGAAAACAACAAAACAACCCGTCTTCTTGGCCAAGAAAAAACAATAAAGATATCTGATTTCTTACCCTTAGAAATAGGATACTTACTAGCCGTAATTTACGCATATCGTTTTTAGGAGAGGAGGAAAGAAAGGCTTCAGGGCATTCCGATATCCAACAATGGAATTTTATTAAACACAATTTTTTTTGTTCGATAACCCAAATTGTGTCTTTAATAACGGGAACAATATTTAAGGTCCACCAAAAGAGGATGGTGGGGGGTTTGTTCCAAATCGGGCTATTTTTATGTTTTCATAGGCATACAGACATACATTGGATGGAGGAACATAATGTATTGCAGTACTTTATTAAGTTAATGTGGAATGTCTGGGGAATTTCTTCTACATAATGTTCAGTTCACAAAGTATTGTACACAAAAATTGTTTTTGCAATAAACGTAATTTGGAAACGACTGGGATGTAACAAAACAGATTTTAATGTCATAGATTGCGAAGATATTTTCCTCTTTTCCCAGGGCAATTAATGACGTTACAGCAACATTTTAAGGATTTTTAAATGTTTGACCAATATTTTCAAATACTACAAGCAACTAGACCTCTACTCTCCCATTAGTCCTTGAAGCCCTACATATTACCACAGAATCATATTTTAAGTGGCATTTTCCACATTTATGGTTTTTTTGTATTTTATAGCATACTTTTAGGCGTACGCCATAACTGTGGCAAATTTTCTTCAACCGTCGCCTACATTTACTTGCACTCATTTCTTGCAAACTGAATAATTTAAGATTTCGTAAAATTTTGCAATCAAAACAAATCGTAGAAAATGTATTTTCGTTGTCTAAAAATACCCAGTAAATTGAAATGTATTTGCGTAGCCCAGGCCTTTTCGGCACTTTTCCGACTAAATCCCTTCCAACAAACAAACCATTTGCATTTTTCATCACAGAAAAAAAGATAAGACTCTTTCATGGAATTAGCGTCAAATAATCACCTTAGCAAAACAAACACAACAACCGATGGGAATTTTAAATACACATTTTTTACAAAATTTTTAAATTCTGACTAAAAGCTAGTTTACACATCATGTGAAAGTCATGTGTAAATTGACCTTTTTCCATACACATCTTTAGCAGTTTTATAGCATGAAGTCTGGAGTATTCCCACCTTTGGGTTAACTTCATCTTACTCGCTATTACAGAGAGTAATGTTTTTCAAAACGAACTGACGGCATTGCAATATTTTCTGATCGCTACCAATAGCATGATTTTATCCCGGCGAGGGGAGTGGTCACTTGACTTTTTCAGTTTTTTTTTTTTTTTTTGATTTGACTACTTTGGCGTAAAGCAGTATCTATATGTCGTGAGCATTCACAAGTGAATGAGAATCACACTCACTTCTTGCATTTCCCAAAAATCGTCCCAAATAAATATTGCAAAGACTCTCAGCTCATTTTCAACTAAGAATTCACCGAGTTCTGTAAGTTTAGTATAGCATACTTTAGGGAGCTCCCCAAATGTAAAACTAGACAGAGACACTCTATAGTAAATCAACCCCAACAAAAAAAGGTTTATAGCTCCGGAATGCTCGCTCGTATTCGACTAAAGACATCAACTCGCACGAATCTGAACGGTAGTACTCTCTGAGAATTCTGAATTCAGCAATCTTTGCAAAGAAAGCATATGACAGTGTTGTTGCTTTTTTATACCCTCGGTCATGTGGCTAGAGAGGGTATATATAATTTGATACGGCCTATACGTGCCTCGTCGAAATAAAGGTTTTAGACACTAGGTCCCTTTGGATTAAATCCTTTTCAGGATATTTGGAGTCGATTTAGCGATGTCCATCCGTCCGTCTGTCAGGCTGATGCACACGATAACTCTCGAAGGGAGTGTCCGATTCGGTCCAAACTTGGTACGTCGTAATATAATTGTCAAACTTGGATCGAGTTCATAGATGTGCAATATTGGTCCACTCCTCCCGCACAAAAAATACTTTACTGTACAGAAAGAGAAAAAATAATTCGATTTTGCTCCAACTTTGCAACTCCTAATATTTGCATCAGTGCTAGGTCAGGTGCGAAATTGGACAATGTTGGTCCACTCCATCAAGTACCTCCCCCACAAAGAGTCAAAATTTTGAAGAACCAAAACGATTATAAAATCCGAAATCCGGTTCTCTTCATATTTCACACATCCCATTATTTACATCAACAGAAGATCTACTATGAAGATGGGATGTAACTGCCCACTCCTTCTGGTACCTCCCCCACAAAAGGTCAGAATTTGGAATAGCCATGAAAATCATAAAATGCGAAATAAGCTTCTGGTTATCTTCAAATTTCACACATCTCAGTATTTCTACTAACACAAGATCTCCTGTAAGGATGGGATATATCGGTTCACTCCTTCTGGTACCTTCCCCACAAAGGGTCATATGCATAAAGTTTGAATATGCATAAAGTTCAGTAAACGCGAAAATAACATTCGATTCCATTCAAACTTGGCACATCTCAATATTTCCATCAACACAAGATCTATTATAAAGATGGCAAAGATCGG